CTGTAGCCCAGGCTGGCCTCGAACTCACAGAGATCCGCCTGGCTCTGCCTCCCGAGTGCTGGGATTAAAGGCGTGCGCCACCACCGCCCGGCTCCTATGAACACCTTTATCAGGACCACTGAACCCTAGTGCAAAGGTTAAGGACTTGTCACCTTCCTAAATGGCATCAGTCAATGTGTTTGTTCCCTAACACCCGAGGCTCTAGGACAGCAAGGTCGTCACCTGAGCTGCCGGCTACACCTGTCCTCAGCAGTCATCTCTATTGCCTGCCCAGAACCAGCATCCTTATGTCTCCAGGCCTCGGTACCATAGAAGAGTGAATTTGGGGGTGTGGCTGTGCCCTAGGACCGAAAGAGGCGATGCTACCATGCTGGCCCTTGCTATCGTGACAGCCGGATGTCTGTTCTCTCACTCTTCCAAACTTTCTGTTACCCAGGACTGCCTCGACCCAGTCACTGTTCTCTGTCCATGGCAAGACATAGTCTGCCGCTATTCCAGGTGGTGACTCCAAGAAGTTCTATGTGGCCTTGACCTCTCCTGGGGCTCTGTTTTCCTCCACCCTCCTCTCTCTGCTCCTGAATTTCCCGGCAAGTTCAGCTCCCCCTTTTCCTATTCCCCCAAGGGTCCTTCAGTGTGCAGCCGGGTCCCAGACCCAGCCACCCTCCCAGATCTGCACACCCTCTAGCAACCCCCTCAGACTATGACTTCCACTCTGAGCCCCCACAAAGCAAGAGCCCACTGACATCACAAGTGGGAGAGCATGGTGAGCCTGCCTTTCCTAGAGGTGAGGGACGTGGGAAGGCTTACCTCGAAAGTTCTGGCTGAACCTCTTCCCTCGGGAGCGGCTGGCGTGGCTGCGTTGCAGCTGAGCCACGTACTGGGCCCTCACGTGGGAGGGGATGGCCAGCCCCTCCACATCAGCCTTGTCCAAGACCGGTGGCTCAGTCAGCTGCAGCTGCCGCAGTAAGCTGCCCAGGACCTGCTCGCCAGTCAGAGCTGCCCCGGGGCCGAGCAGGGACAGTGCCCAGAGTGCCCAGCTGAGCCACAGGGACCGCATGGTGCTGCCCAGGAGGAGGAGCTGTGGATGTGTGTGTCCCTGAGGTGTCCCGAAAGGGTCTTGAGTCTACTGAGGGCTGGGGCAGACCGGCTTTATAGCTGGCCCTGGGTGGGGGGTGGGGAACAAGAAGGAGGGAGGTCACACCCCTGGGACCTCCTGGGAGCTCAGCATGAAACAAGCCCCTGAACCCTGAGGAGGGGCTGTCTAGAAAGGACACAAAGGCCTGTCTGGACTGAGAACATCTGGCCACCACTGTCTGTCAATATGCCTCAACATTGACTGAAGGGTGCCTGGCCAGTTAAGATATTCAAGGTGGACGCAGTAATAGCTCAGTGGTAAGAGCACTCGCCCTGCACTCGTGAAGCCCTAAATACAAGCCCAGCACAGACTGGGGGACTGATCTCAGAGAAGATGCGGAGGGCCCATTCTCTGCTGGGTGCCTGCTCCCAGTGTCTGGAATGTGCACCTATAATCTTGTTCATTGCCGCTCCCAAACTCTGGAAAGATCCACATGCCAATCAACACCTGGGCTCTCCAACCGACTTGCCTCGCAGTACCCCTGGCCAGGTGTTCCAAAGACTTCTGGGGCTGATAAGAGCCAGGATGTCCCACTTTGGGGAGGATTCCTTGGCCACAAAGCCTGGGGCTGGCCAGTAAGGAGCCCCATCCTCCCCTTCCCTTGCTCTATGGGAATTAAAGTTGAAAGTCCACCCTCCCCCAATTTTTGAGCCAAGAGAATAGCGGCCCAGAGAAGGAGCAACATAAAGATCAGTGCCCACTGCTGAGTGGTGCTGGCCCACACCGTTCGTTAATCCCAGCACTCCGGACACAGAGACAGGTGGATCTCTGAGTTCAAGGCCAGCCTGGTCTACAGAGCGAGTTCCAGGACAGCCGGGGCTACACAGAGAAACCCTGTCATGAGAAACCAAAAAGAAAAAAAAAGATTAGTGCCCACAATAGTCAGTGCTTTCCATATCTCTAGTTATCTTCTGCCAAGTCTGCCCCAGGCACTTGAAGAAAGTTAGAAGGACTCAATGCCATGTGTGTGGTTGGAGTAGGGGCGCGAGGTGTGTGTGGCTATATTCCTCGGTCTACTAAGCCTCCTCCAAGACACCGGCCGGACACCTGGATGTGGATTTGCGAGCTGGTTAAAGACTTGTACTAGAGAAATAAAATTGAGCCGCCCACCAGGAGTAGAACTGCTAAGTAAAACCCGAGACTGAATTCAGGACATGATTACACTAATATATTATTCACTGTTTACCTATGGTTTGCATTACACCAGTATCTAGAGCTTTTATTTGCGGATTCTGGCAACCTCAGTCGGGGGCTAAAGAGAAAAGCCATCGTGGATTGCAAGACTTGGTGTGGTGTTCCACGGCTCTCCAGCAGGGCCACCCTTTGTCATGCAGAAGAGCAGCTGTCTTCCCTACCACTCCTGCCTGGGTCTGACCCAGGTCAGGCTGGAGATTGGAAAGCAGCCCCCAGACCAGGTCTTTGGCCCATTCCAGGAGAGGGGACCCCTGGAATGAAGCCTGGTTGCTCTCTACACAATGCCTTTCCTGACTGTAGGCCAGTGTTAAGGGCCCAGGGGAGGGCAGTGGCCCAGTCACGCTGGGAATGAGGGCTGAGGTCAGAGAGAAGCCTGGTGTCCCCCAGTCCCCTCCCCACTCTCTGGCTCTTATGATTTGACTCCAGAGGTTGGGCTGCCAGGTGAGGGCTGGGACATCACACCACAATGGGAACAGGACATCATCTTAGGACTTCAGAGTAGAGACCATCTGGAGTAACATCAGACCCAAGGACCTCTAAGGTCAGGGAATCGAAAGTCCAGGATAGTCTTTTCAGGAGAGTCCAGGACAGTCTTTCTAGGAGAGCTCCAGGTGTCTGGGGTCCCCTCACTGGGCAGGGACAGACATTTTGTGTTTGCTTGGCAAGTACACCAAGGCCAGCCCAGGTGCCACAGGTGGCCTGGCCGCACATCATGGAGCTCCTTAACCCCTGCCTGGGGCTGTGTGGTCCCTGGGAGGCAGTGCAGAGGGGCATCCAGACCTGCCCTGGGTGGCCTCCCAGTTCTCCCAGAGCACCTCAACTTCCTAGGTCAAAGAGGGGATACCAAACATTTCAGGCCACCGGTCCCTTCTCCGCCCTGCCGAAGTTCACATGCTGCCATAGTCACCAGCTGGCTCTGCAGACCTTAGACCCTCTTCCAAGGATGTGAGTCTCCTCTGGGGAAATGGGGGAAAGGTACTTCTTACACCAGAAATTAGTCCAGTTAATTAGGATGCCCACAGAATTCCTAGTTAGTCTCTTGGTACACAGTAGGTACTCAAGAAATGTCAACCGTCTCTTGCACTGTTAAGTTTCTTGAGTGGTGAACTTCCTAAAATGTAAGTTGACATTTTTCTTTTGAAAATAATTAGAATTCAGCAACATTCAAACCTGTGGAAGGGAATGTAGGAAGAGGCAGGCTCTTCCTGTCTCCTGCCTGCTCCTTTTACAAATATCCTGCAAATGCTCTCCGCATCTTGAAGATTCTACTATCATTATCTGCACACTGTGTTTCAAAAGTATACAATTTTTAGTTTTTAAAAGTCATCCTTACATATTGGGGGGGGCGGTTTAACTGGGTTTTCAGTTAGGGGTTTGGTGGGATATGGGTGAGGTTATGTTCTGCTTTGGGGGGTGTTTAACAGGGTTTTCAGTTAGGAGTTTGGTGGGATATGGGTGAGGGTATGTTCTGCTTTGTTGGGTGAGTTGGTTTTTGTTTTGTTTCTGCACAGTGCTGGGATTGGACCCCGAGGCCTCAGGGATGCTAAGCATGTGCTCTGGACTGAGCTACAGTCCAGCCCCAATTTTATTTGAAGAGATGGGTTTTACTATGTTCCATTGCCTCGCTTGCAACTGCTGAATTTAAAGTGATCTCCTGCCTCAGCCTCCACAGCAGGTTAAGAGTACAGGTGTGGGCCACCATATTCCATTCTAAATTTTATATTTTTTCCCAAGCTGTGTTTCTAATCTATATGTTTTTTCAGTTTGTGTTGTTTTTATTTATTTACTTGGGGGTGGAGGCACAGAGTATGGTATGCATGTAACTATCAGAGAACGACTTTCAAGAGTTGATTCCCTCCTCTCACCACGTTGGCCCTGGTTGTGAGGCATCTCACTGATCCATATTTTAATTTTTAAAAGCTTTTGCACATGTATATACTTCATATTGAGCACATTCCTCCTTGTACCCTTTGTACCCTCCCCTTTCCCTCTCTCTTCTATTGGTCCTCCTTAGAACCCTAGATGGTTCTACTTTCACGATAGATAGATAGATAGATAGATAATTTTTTGTACCCACGTACACTCTAGGAGCCAAAATGAGAGATAAGATGCAATATCTGTGTTTCTGAGATTCATTTAATTCCTTTAGTATGGTTATCTCCAGTTGCGTCCATTTTCCTGAAAACATCCCGACTTCATTCTTCACACCTGTGGAAAACTCTGCCGTCGATCCACTCGACCTTTTCCTTTTCCGTTCCTCGGTGTTGAGACATGGGGGTTGGTCCCCTAACTCGCTGTTGTGACTAGAGCTACAACAAGCACATCAGTGCAAGTGTCTCTGTGACGTGTCAGCCTGTTGGGGTTCTTTGGGCAAATACCCAGGAAGGCTTTAACGGAGTCCTGTGGAAATTTTCCTGTTATTTTTGTATAGAAGCCTCCGTCCGTACTGAGTTTCACAGTTATTGGACTGGTTTACATGCCCAGCAGCAGGGGTTAAGGGTTCCCTTTCAACCACACCACCATCAACGTTTGTCCTTCGTTTTTCTTTTTTCCCCTTTTCCTCCCTCCTTTCCTCAGGCCCCTCCCTCCCTCAAGCCCTCCCTCCCTCAAGCCCCTCCTACGCCCTTCCCACCACTTTCAGGTTTGATTATTTGTTATACACGCGCACACGCGCACACACACACACACACAAACATATGTAAATACAGCCCGCTGACCCTGTTTTTGTTGTGTGTACATGCTCTCAAGGCTGACCACTCTGCAGTGGACAACCGATAAGGGACCCACCCGTGGGAGAGGCTGACTCTCCCTCTCCCCGAAGTCATAAATTATGGGTAGTTCAACGTCTAGGGGTGGGACCATAAGAAATTTTCACCTCTCCATGTTGACATGTTCCCAGTTTTATATTTTAAACAGTCCGGAAGACAGTCTCTCTCACCCAGAATCCCCTCCCAGGAGGCAGTCAGCCTTAGGTCGACAGGTCCTGGAGGTCGACTTGTTTACCCTGACACTTAGCCTCGGCCTCTTTGCAATCAGACCTTATTTATCGTGGCTGTGAGTCGGGTGGCAATTGAGACACAGTCATAGCTTATTTGGTTATTTGTTTGTTTCGGTGCTGAGAATGGAATCCAGGGCCTCCTGCATGCTAGACATGTCTCTGTTTTCTGATGTAGCAAGCGTGATCAGACAGGAAGTCCTACTATAACAACATACTACAATGTGGATTTTTTTTTTAAGATTGTTTTATTTTTAATTATATGCACGTGTCTATGTGTAACCTGTCAGATCAAACCCCAGTCCTTTATAATTCTTGCTGCTATGGAAAAAGGGTCTTTTATTCCACAGGCCTGCTTACTGTTGCCTGTATCCCTGCAAGTTGGTTATTTTACCTTCTGAGTTCGAACCCTTACTGGATTCTCTTATCATTTTTAACAACACTTAGGTGACTCACATTTCTAAATTCATTGCTTTTTGTTAGATACAAATGTAATATAATATAACGATATTCCCTCTGTCTCTCTCTGCTTCTGTCTCTCTCTGTCTCTGTCTCTGTCTCTGTCTCCAGTGTCATGTTTTACAGGCTGGGTTCAAACTCACTGTGTAGCCAAGGATGACTTTGAACTTCTCACCTTCCTGCCTCTGCCCTCCAAACATGCATGCTTTATGAGGTGCTGGGGGATGGAACTCGGGGCCTCAGGCATGCTAGGCAAGTGCTCTACCAGCTAAGC